TTTGTATAACTGGAAATTAATTTGTTTGGGATTAGCTCAATTTTTTTAGTAGTATAATATAATTTATATATGTAATTAATTCAATTTTAGAGGAACATCAAAAGATATAAAGGATGTGATTGGCTTTATGAAAATAATTAGGGCTAGAATTGGTAATCAAAAGTTTTGCAACTTAGATGATTTATATATATATATATATATATATATATATATATATATATATATATATATATATGGTCATTTTGATAGATTGTTTACTTTTTAGGTTCCCTTGTAGTATATACGAGATTTTTTGGATGCAGTTTTTTCCTCATTAAGCGTCAACCACATTTTTTATGAATAGGCTATTGGGAACATGCCAATATTTCCAAACACCAAGTTCTCGCTCCTAAAATTGGTCAATCAGAGCATGGACCACCTTGATTTTCAGTAACACAAATGAGTAGATCCTGCTTGTACCAGTAAATGGTGGGCCGATTTTGGTAAAAACCTTGCCGTTTCGTTGATGCACAAACATACCTTTTCAATTAATTAGCAACTTGGGGTTGGCAGTTCGATGCAAACATTTCACATAGTTTATTATGAATGATCAAATAATCTACATCTAAGCCAGAGTATCTGTGTAGTAACACTTCTCAGGATGCATTCATATCATATCTCTTATACTTCTTGTTTGCCCTTATTTTGATTATTGCATAGACTTGATAAATACTGAAAGATGAATACTTCATTGTGAAATGCTTTTGCATTGTGTGAAGCATAGGTGCAATACCCTGGGTTAAAGTATCAGATGAAATTTGACCTTGTGACCATGGCTTTCCTCTCAAAATCCATCGCATGGGTATGAACTGCATCCCTCATCAACTCATGAATTTGGTTGGAAGTATATATTAACTGTTTCGTTGAATGAATTATAATTACTTGTATAATTCTATGGAAATATCTTTCATGCTTATTTAAATATATCTTTGATATGGGCAAGGAACGAAATGTCGTGTCGAAACGTCCGAAACGTTTCGGAATTTCAACACACCGACACGAAACAGGGGATGAATACTAAAATTTCAATGTTTAGTTCGAATCGGCAGTGTGTCGGACCGTTTCGGTCGAAACAGTACCGTTTCGGTCGAAACAATACAGATTCGATGTGGTTCACTCCAGGTAAAAAAAAAAAAACAGAGATGCTAGAAAGCAGATTCCTTTCACATGTCTGTCAAAATTCACAGAGAAAAAACACAGAAATCACATGAGGTGCAGAAAGCAGATTCCTTCCACAAGTCAGTCAAATTTCACAGAGAAAAAATCGGGAATAAAACACAGAAATCACATAGTCCAGGTCTTCCAAGCAAAAAAAAAAAAATAGACAGAAGAGAGAGATGAGAGACTGTCCAGGACTCCAGGTTCAGGCAAAAAAAAAAAACAAACAAAAGAGAGAGGGAAAGGCACCACAGGAACTCGAAGAGATAGAGAAATTGAAGGAGAAGACTAGAGGAACTAACCTTGAGTCCAGATTTGAGCGGATTCAGTCATTTTTGGGTTTTCCACGCAGATCTAGGGCTCGGATTTTCCACGCAGAGCCTTCTTCATCGCTGCGACCACGAGCCCGAGGTATCTTCTTCTTCTTCCTCTCTCTCTCTCTCTCCCACTCTGGCTTCGGCATCGGCATCGGCATCACGATTGCGATCGCCTCTCTGTGTTTTGTCTGAAGTCGTCTGTGGTGTGTGTGGTTTGTCTGCCTTATATATATATATATTTTTTTTGTTACATGTATGAATAATTATATTTAATACCCCTTATAATTATATTTAATACATACTGTAATTACATTCAATACCCAACAGTAATTACATTTAATAGTTAATACCCACTGTAATTACATTTGATATATACTGTAATTACATTTATCACCCCACTGTAATTACATTTAATAGTTAATACACATGGTAATTACAATTGATACCCACTGCAATTACACTTGATACCTCACTACAATTACATTTAATAGTTAATACCTACTATAATTACATTTAATATCCCACTGCAATTATATTTACTNTAATTATACTTGATACCCACTACAATTACATTTAATAGTTAATACCCACTGTAATTACATTTAATATCCCACTACAATTACATTTACCACCCAACTGTAATTATATTTAATACCCCACTGCATACATAAGTACCATTAATTTAATTTGATACTCTTCATTATTTTTTTTATTTTTGTAATTATTCTTTTATATTATTATATTTTAATTAAAAGTGTTATACATGTCATATTTAATTTGTAGAATTAATTTAATATATTTAATAACGTAATGATATTTTTTGTAGATATGACATCAAAAGGAAAGAATGTGGCTACTGAATCATCGCAGAAAAAGAAAAAAGAACGTGATATTGGATGGAATTACGGCGAACGAATTGGGGATAATCGACAACATGTAATGTGTAATTTTTGCCATAAAAAAATGATGGGTGGCGGTGTGTCACGGTTAAAGCAACACTTGGCAGACGGTTATAATAATGTGGAACAATGTGATAAGTGTCCTATTGAAATTGCGAGAGCTATGAGGGATTACTTGAATCGCAACAAGACTGAAAATGCAGAAGTGACTGGTGAACGGAGAAAAATGAGACAAAATTTAATTGGTGGATCGAGGCGGAGGAGTGGTATCGAAATTTATTCTTCCGATGAGAATTCAGATGATGATATGGATATAGAATATATAGATGATATTGAGTATGCAAAACAACAATCTATTCGTGATATACATATGGCCGAGCAAGGCTTTAGAGGAGGAAGTTTTAGACCATCTATCAAAAAAAGTGGTATATTTAGGGGTTTAATACGCTCACATAGTGTGAAGGAATCTTCAGATAAATTCTCAAGAAAATCACAAAAGTGGATGGGCAGAGAAAATGATCTCACGATAGAAGAGATGGATCCTTCGATGTATCGGAATAGGGAAGTGAAGTAAGCCAAGCTAACTCATATGTGGAATCCCAAAAAGTGGGTAAAGTCGGCAAAACATGCTATTGCAAAGTATTTCATTTATGAGAATATTCCATCAAGCAAAGTTCAAGGTCATTTTTACCAATTGATGATTGATGAAATTGCTTTAGCTGGAGTGGGTGTGGAAGGCCCAACCCCATATGAGATTGGCGGACTATTGCTAGATAATGAGATAGATGAGCTGAAAGAGTACATTGACCAGTTCAAAAAGAAGTAGGAGATTTATGGAGTGACAATCATGTGTGATGGATAGACATCCACTACAAGATTATCTATCATTAACTTCTTGATATATTGTGATGGAAAAGTTATTTTTCACAAGTCAATTGATAGTTCTGGTTATGACAAAGATGCTAATTATATTTTTGGGGTTGATGGATGCTGTTAGTGAAGAGATTGGAGAGAAATATGTGGTTCAGATTATTACAGACAATGGCAGTGCGTACAAAAAAGCTGGTGAAATGTTGATGGAAAGAAGACCACACCTATATTGGACTCCTTGTGCTGCCCACTCTCTAGATTTGATTTTGCATGATTTTTCCAAGATTGAAATGGTTCAAAAACTACTAGAGCAAGCTAAAAGAGTGACCAATTTTATTTATAACTATAATAGAGTCTTGGATATAATGAGAACATTTTGTTCGGGGGAATTGATTCGGCCAGGGCAAACAAGATTTGCCACTAATTATATTGCCTTACAAAGTATGTTGGAGCAGAGAAATGGTTTGCAAAGGATGTTTACTTCAGAAGATTGGTCTAGGACTGCGGCAGCAAAGGATCCAGTTGGAAAGCGAGTTCAAGGGACAATTCTAAATCCTAAATTTTGGGAGACCGCCAAAAATGTGTTGAATATGCATACACCTATTGCAAAAGTTCTAAGAATGGTGGATGAGGAAAGAAAAGCAACAATGCCATATGTATATGAAGCAATGAAACGAGCAAGACAAGCTGTCAAAGATGCGGCTCCTAAATCGTGCAAAAAATATCTTGACATCATTGATGCTCGATAGAAAAAATAAATCATTCAACATATTCATATGACAGGTAAACTTATTGTTTATCAATTTATATTTTTATTATTGATAAGTGTTATCATTTTGAATGTTATCATTTATAAGTGTTATCATTTTTTATATTGTGCAGCTTATTACTTGAACCCCACATATCATTATGAAGAAGATGTTGGTGTATTAGAAAATTTCTTGGTTTTGCTTCGGATCGTTGTGTCTAGACTAGAAACAAATTCAAACAAGGCTGTTGAAGCACTTGCAGAGGTAATACTTTAGTATTTCAATCTCAATTTACAAATATGCTGAATTAATATATAACATCAATATACCTATGATAATTAGGTAAAAATATTTCGGGAGGCCATGTATTGTTTTGCTGACCAAGTTGCAATTAGAGGAAGAACAAAAAGTGATCCAGGTAATTAAGTAGATTATTTACACTTTTATATTTTGTTCTTATGATTTTTTATTTATATTTTTCTTTAAGGTTTTAATATGTTTCTTATTATTATGCAGCTGAATGGTGGTTTATGTATGTCACTGATGCTCCAAATTTGAGAAAGATTGCTCTGAGAATATTGTCGCAAATAGCTTTATCTAGTGGTTGTGAGAGAAACTGGAGCACATTTGCTCTCATTCACACTAAAGTGCGGAATAGACTCAATTATCAAAAGTTAGAAAGACTGGTGTTTGCACAATATAACATGAGGTTGAAGTTAAAGCACCTTATGAAGGACAAAAAAGGGTATGAATTCAGACCTATAGACTTAACCACTGTTTTTGACGAAGATGAAGGTATTTCAGAGTGGTTAGATGATCCTGGTGATGCACTTTTAGATGAACTTGATGATGATGGGCAATCAACAAGATCAAACACTTTCCTAGCGAGGTGGGCAAATCGTTTTTCCGATGACGACGGAGGAGTAGGCCTAAGTCAAGGTGTTGTGCCACCACGAAAATCAAGATCTAAAATAAGTAGAGGAGGATCAAGTAAAGCAATGGATGATGAAGAGTTTGACAGACTAATGAGAGGTCCATTAAGACGTAAGCAACCTATCACTGTCACTAGTAGTACTGAGGATGATCATAATAGTGATGGTAGCAATGATGATGTCGGTGAAGATGATGATGAAGATAGTTGTGGTGGTAGTAGTGGAGATGGTTACAGTGGAGGTGGTGATAGCCATGGACATGGAGGCGATGGAGGTGGTGGTGATGGAGGTATGGGGAGCCAAAGTCCACATGGAATTGTATTCACTGTTGAGGAAGGATTTACACATGCTACACAAGATGAAGATCATGGCTCTCGACGAATGCTTCAATATGAACGACGCTCAAAATCAACTCGAGATTGTCAACGTGAGCGTACTCAAAATTCGATCACTCCACATGGTATGAGTGCTATTAGGCATGAAACTGATATGATTAATGATGGTTTTTCTACCATGAGTATAAGTGGAAGTGGAAGTGAACACCATAATTATGGTTCATCGTCTTCATATGGTTATGGTTCTGGATATAGTATTCCCTTATATAATTATGGATCGGGGTATGACACACGAGGATACGAATACGGATCCTCAACATATGGTTATGGATCTGGCTATGACTCCCAGACATCCTCCTCATATAGACAAGATAAAGATTGGTCAGGGACTGGTGCATTCATTCCCCAACAGATTGGATGTAATGTTGCAGACTATCAGAGGTTTGAGAGAGAATATAATTCATATTATCGTAATAATATGAGTTGGAGTAACTATTGTCATCATATTTATGTCACATATCGAGTTTCTCTAAGTAGGTACCAAGAGCCTACACCAATGTATGAGCCTGCTCGACACTTCACAGGGGAATGGATGTAGCCATGTAAGTATGTACTCATTAGCATTTCATGTGTATTATGAGACCTTAATATTATATAAAAATATGTTTATTTGATAAAAATTAAGTGCTTAAAGCTAATTTAAGTGATTTTCGTCTCATGTCAAGTCTTTTTTTTCCTCCAATTTAAATCTATTCTTGTATAAATGAATGTTAAGTCAATAAATATGTTGAATTAATTAATTATTTAATTTATCTTTATAGATATAGATTAATGGATTGTATTTGTGTTTTCACGTGTTTCCATATTTTTTCCGCGTTTCCATTGCTTTTCCGAAACGTTTCCGTTTTTTAGATGACCGAAACGGTACTTCGAAACGAAATTTCAATCCTTGGATATGGGTTTTGTGGTTCTGTTAATTTGATTTGCTTACTGAAATGGAGAGGATTCCTGGATTTTTGTTTATTTTCTTTGAATTAGATGACCTCGGAAACCCTCTCCCGTCAAAAAGATGTCCGATGATTCACCTCTCTTTGACTTTCATTTTTCTTTTCTTTCCTTTATGTCTTTCTTTTCCATTGGCTATATTTCTTTGGGATCTTAAACAACATTGCTTGTCTTATCCTAGAGAAGAATGTTTAATTTGAAATTGGTTTAAGAGACAGATGGGATGGACATTGATAGAAATGACTGGAAAAACTGGTACTGATTTTTTTCTTCATAATATTTGCATCTGTGTCCACGTTCATATGGAACAAATGTAGTCATTGGAACATTATAATTTATTCACAAGTAGAAGTGGATAAATGTGTGTGGGTGGAGCAATATTTTTGAACACTCGTATGTAGACCTTAGCAGACATTTCAAAAAATACACTCCACTGATGAACTATTCAATTTGCCCAAAATTTTGATTGAAAAAAAAAGCTAATTGACCTTGGGTCTCTTGGCCAGTGGTAACGACTAAAAAAATGCTAAACTTCATAAACTCTTTGCATGCAATTTGAGTTTAGATATACGTAATGAGCCTAAATCTTTAGATCTTCTTGTGTTGTCAAACTGCTTTCATTCATTGTTTTGATTGATATATGCCACAGCGGTTTATCATTAAATGTTTGTGGTTTCTATCATTCGTTTAACTTTTTTTTTTCCCTGTGTGTTACTTCCTTTGACTTCATTTGCTTTAAAAGCTCTGCTTTCTCTTTTTCGATAGCTTTTTCCAGAATACAGGTTTGAATGGGTGGTATCAGAATTTGCAGAGGCTATTGTTTTGGAGCTAGGTGAGTAATAAAGTCATATGGACTATATTTCGGGAAAATTGTCTTATTTGGTTAGCTTTGCTCACTTGGGTTCTTGTATTACATTTAATCCTGTTATCCTTTTCCATGTACACTAGTCGTCTTTTTTTGAATTTTGCCTTCCGTTTGAAAATTTAAAACTAAGGGTTCGTTTGTTTAGCGGGAGAATGATATAAAATACAAGAAAGAGAATTTTTTTAAAATTTTCACGTGTTTGGTTAGCATGAAAGGGAAAATGATGGAAAAAATAATTTTCTTTCGTGCTTGAATTTTCTCATAAATAACCAACTTTTTTTTCTTGTAAAAAACACAAGGAAATGCAAGAAAGTTGTGATTTATAACTAACTTCCTATTTTACCCTTATTTTTCTTAAAATATTTTATTGGTTATTAATTTAAATTTTTTTTGGTATGAATTTGATTAATCATATAATTTGGCCCAAAGACCTTTGTATTGGTAATTGTCTTAAAATTAAATTTCGAGCCATTTTTTTAAAATTTTTTAACTTTCATTTATAATTACATATTTATTTCTTTTTAATATAATTAAGGGTAATTTAGACAATTATAAAAAATTTCTTATAATTTTTTTTTCTTTCAAACAATATAATGAATTTTTTTTAAAACTTTCCGGTAAAATTTTCATTCTAATCAAATACATGTATATAAATATATTTTCTAGCATTTTCTTTTCTTTCATTTCACTTTCTATCATTTTTTTCTTCCTAATCAAACGGACCGTAAAAGAAACTAGTGTTCGTTCTCCCTTGTCATTATTTTTACTATCATTCTTCTCTCACTTTCTTTGTGGCCTTGTTTCTTTTTTGCTTCTAGGTGATGGAGTTCTATGGGCAATGCACTTGACATGATTGTAGATGCACACTCCTACCATGAAAATTGAGTGAAATTTAGTCAACAAATTAAATAGAAGTAAGCCATGTGCAATATGAACAAATTGGCATCAATCTGATGGTTGTATTGTAGAGGGATAAAAGTATCTACAAAATGGGAATCACCGATAAAGCAATTAAGTACACAGACAAGCTGGACCTTGCATATAATCAGGACAAGAAATCGGTTATTTTCACTATTGGTTAACACAGGTGCCAAAATCCAACAGAAGCAGGTTAAAAAAAATTATGAATTGATAGGCCTTAATTTTTCTTATCCCTGGATTCCTCTTAAATGCTTGACTTCGGAACACTGTTCTTACATCCTTGCCCTTGTGTTATGTGTATGCCAGGAACTAGATCATGTCATTTATCATCTTTATGGTCATTTTTAAGCTTTGCTTGTGCAAAGGAGTAAATAAAGGATGAATTCCATGTCAAACTTCCATTTTGAGGTGTGGAAGTAATAAAGAGTGATAGGCACGGGATGTCAAAGAGCAAACTTTTGGTTGTCTTATCCACTGGAAGAAAGAGGATGCATATCATTTACTACAAAAGGAAAAGGGATGTAGTGGACAACTGCATCTTGAGTGGCATAGATTTGGAGTTTGCGGCTTACATATGACTCATAGGAACAACTGTATCATTAATCGTTTTTACGGGACATAATTTTAGAAAATATATGTTTGTAAAATGAATGTAGCGAAAATAGGGTTGTCAAGATAGTTTTGTGGCAATAGTGGATGCATTAAAGATGAACACATTTGTGGTAGTCTGAGTTAGCAATTGTTAACGTAAAATGGAAAAAAGTAGTAGAGATGGTTTAGTCAAGTGGAATAGAGACTGATTCTACTTCAATGAGAGTGCTTCAACTTTCTAGCACCAAGAAAGACAAATTGATGTAGGCTGAGGCAGTTAGCCAATCAAAAAGTAGTGCGATGTTTAACTAGAATTATAGCCTTCATCAAATGGAATAGCAGAAAAGGATCTGTGTTGTGAATTGAATAAGACTAGATAAGTTGGTCTCATTTGCTAAACAGTAAGTTCCAAGAGTTGCAAAAATTGGAAAAATTTATCAAGTGGGTGCATTTTTTGTAACATGGTTTTAGCTGCATAGATTTTCTAAATCCTTTGCTTTACTAGTCAGTCAGTCTTCAAATATAAAGTGTCTGACATATTTGAGGTTGAGAAGTATATGTTCAATGCAGACTTGCAATGTATAGCAACTTAGTAAGACTAGAATAAAAACAAGTATGTCTTTTCGACCAGTGTCAACTCGGTCTATGATTGATTATAGATTCTATGGTATTGGCAATGTTGATATGCCAATCCCTTTGGATTTCAAAATAACATGCCTCAAGCATACCCTTGAGGCTGCAGATTGAAAGATGTCAACTTTCATCTCATGGTTGGCTAGCTTTGTCGTTGAGTTCCTTGAGTAGTAGAACCATGGTTCACTCCTTCAATGGCGCGTGCGCTATTGTTTTTTTTTGCTTTCATCTTTTAGGGCATGCAAATAGGAATAGGAATGCAACTAATAGTGGACTCTACTGGGAAATATCCATTGTTCTCAAGTTCTGGGGTGAATGTGGTGGCTTGAGGCAGGGAGAAGATACAATTTGTAATGGAAGGTTTTGAACAAGCATGGCAAAGTCCTTATATGAAGATTTGGACTGTGTATGGAATAGGATTGTGTGGATATGGAATTTGTGTTAAGAGTTTATGCTTCACACAAAAAAGTTNAATAAAGAGTGATAGGCACGGGATGTCAAAGAGCAAACTTTTGGTTGTCTTATCCACTGGAAGAAAGAGGATGCATATCATTTACTACAAAAGGAAAAGGGATGTAGTGGACAACTGCATCTTGAGTGGCATAGATTTGGAGTTTGCGGCTTACATATGACTCATAGGAACAACTGTATCATTAATCGTTTTTACGGGACATAATTTTAGAAAATATATGTTTGTAAAATGAATGTAGCGAAAATAGGGTTGTCAAGATAGTTTTGTGGCAATAGTGGATGCATTAAAGATGAACACATTTGTGGTAGTCTGAGTTAGCAATTGTTAACGTAAAATGGAAAAAAGTAGTAGAGATGGTTTAGTCAAGTGGAATAGAGACTGATTCTACTTCAATGAGAGTGCTTCAACTTTCTAGCACCAAGAAAGACAAATTGATGTAGGCTGAGGCAGTTAGCCAATCAAAAAGTAGTGCGATGTTTAACTAGAATTATAGCCTTCATCAAATGGAATAGCAGAAAAGGATCTGTGTTGTGAATTGAATAAGACTAGATAAGTTGGTCTCATTTGCTAAACAGTAAGTTCCAAGAGTTGCAAAAATTGGAAAAATTTATCAAGTGGGTGCATTTTTTGTAACATGGTTTTAGCTGCATAGATTTTCTAAATCCTTTGCTTTACTAGTCAGTCAGTCTTCAAATATAAAGTGTCTGACATATTTGAGGTTGAGAAGTATATGTT